TCCACTTCCTTGGCCTTAGCCCGAGAGAAGAGTTCTCGCTCATCAGACGGTAGCTTGCTGATCACCACTTCTGAGTCCCGCATCTTCTTTGCCAGGAACGCCACAGGATTGCGCTCCAGCATCTTTCGTTGTCTGTTGGAACTCAATTGATCAATGTCAATCTCAATCCGAAGGAACTCATTGATCTCCGACATGGCATGGAAAATGTCAATCGTCTGTTCCTCGATCACAGCTTCGGCATAGAGCTCATCAACCCAACTTGGCTCATCGGCCTTGCTCCTTTTGGGTGCTGGTTGCTCGTAGTCATTGACGTCTGGTGGTTCATGTGGACGAACTTGAGACGACGTAGCTGTAGACGAGTGTGTTCCAGACTCAGGCTCATTCACTTCTGTAGGACTTGTTTTGGCTCGGACGCGTCGTGTTGGTACCACGACAGTGGTCTTGTCTGGTTGTTCAGGTAGATCTGGGAGTTCCTGATCTTCCGGGCTGGGTTCTTCATTCACAACATCGAAGTACTCACGTTTCGGTAAAACATCGGCAAGCGTCCTCCAAGAAGTGACGTTCTCCCTTGCGGTCGTCTCGTAGACAAACTTCTCCTCTTCAGTCACTGGTCGTACGGAATGCACTGAGCAACGAAACAGTCGCTGGCCGATCAGCACCCACACAATATGGCGTCGCGTGTCTCCGGACTCCTGGTGAGGTAGTACTTCTTGAAAGATGACTCGCCCTGGTCCGGCCCAATGCGGCCGTCCAGATTTCCGAAATCCACCACGAGTTCCCTTGGCTTGCTCATGCGGCCACACATGACGCCAGATCTTCACGAGGGCGAATGGCTCAAACTCACGAAGAGGTTGTCGCACCGTAGAATTTTGTAGTCGCGAAAGTACTCGTTTTGCCCTCGTCCTCACAGCAACTTCTTCTGCTTGCTGTCGTAGAGTAACAAGCCTCGTATACTCGCCCTCATAGTTCGTAGTGGCAAAGGTTCGTACATCCTCATCGGAGAGGGAGTACTGTTTCCCAAAAGCCCATTGGAACGAGGAGAATCCGGCGGTGTACTCTGTGGAATTCAGGGCCGCAGTGGCCAGGAACAATGCCATCTCGGGTTGCAGGTCTCTCAGGTCCTGGTAGATAGCCGAAGCCGTCAACTTGACGTCCTGAACAGCAGCCTCGACCGTGCCATGTGCCCAAGACTCTTTCTCGGCAATGAAGTGCACCAGAATGTTCAAGTCCGAAAGATACTGATGAGTGGTCTCAGAAATAAGGCTCTTTGCTGAATCCATCAACACCACCCTTGGCTTAGGATATGTCCCCAGCCATCGCTCAGTGAAGCTCCTCATGAAGTCTTGGCTTGACTCTGCCTTCATCTCGAGAAAGTCATAGACATACAAAGGGCACGTCACTCGCAACTTCGTAGCAACGTCCATGAAGAGCAGAAACTTCACCTTGATCTTCCTCCCAGGTGGCACCCACTCCGCTGCATCAACTGCCACTGCTTCCCATGCACCATACTGGGCGTGTGTGCTAGCTGGTGGTACACGACCAGAGCTGGTGCCACCAGGTTTCAAACTCAGACAAGTGGGACACTGATAGATACGTGCAGCTTCCACTTTCCACTCAGGGTGTCCTGCGTCCTTCACGATTCGGGCCAAGTTCCGATTCGACGGATGTCCAGCTGCCTTGTGGAATTTCGCTACTTGGGTCATCCATCGCTCGTACTCTTCCTGGGAAACGCCTTCTGCGTGTGACTCCAATCCTTTGTCCACATCTGTAGTAGGACCCGTGGTAGTAGATGACGTCTGTTCTGCAACCGAAATCATTTGAGAAGGACCCGTGGTAGTAGATGACGTCTGTTCTGCAACCAAAATCATTTGAGAAGGACCCGTGGTAGTAGATGACGTTTGTTCTGCAATCGAAACCATTTGAGATGGACTCGTTGTAGGTAGAGGAAATCCAAGTGCTCGTAGTTGTTCTCGTTCTTGTCGTGAGACCTTGTCGATCATCCTTGAAGAGTACGCGGTCACTGCTATCCGGAAGCCTCGCCATTGTTGAGTTGCGTGCAAAGTCTCTGGACTGAAGATGACGAACTTCTTGAAGGTCTCGAACATGTTACCGTAGACAACCGATCCATTGGCTAATCTCCGGCGAACTCGATCCGTGGTTTTTCCACTCTCATCTTGAAGCCATAGACCTCCACCAGCAAAGGAACCAAAGCATGTCAGAATGTTTGATGATCCTTTCTGGTTGTTGTGATCTCGGTGTGGTAAGGTCCGTCCATTGAAGTTGATAAGGATGCTCGTCCAGGTCTGTTGTGGTAGATGACGACGAAGAAACTCATTGACGTAGATCACCACCTCCTTGTACGTGTGAGTCCTGTTGGTCAGTCCACCAAAGGCTCCAAAGGAATACAGACCAAGCTGTAGTAGTTGAGAGGGAGTCTGTGCCCATCGAAGATGGTGTTGTTGAAGAGTCACTCCAAGGTAGTTGTAGATCAAGTTGCATAGTCTTTCCAAATCATCAAAACCATACCGTTGCCGGGCACTCGCCTCACGGGCGTGGGCGTTGATGTCCAGAGTAGCCGCTTGTCCAATCATCACCTCGGGAGTCTCTTCCACGTCAGACTTGTCCTCCACCAATGACAAGGACCATGGATCAACATCCAGTTGATCATCTTCCACATTGACCTCTTCCTGCTGTCGTAGCATCCGTGCGTGACGTAGGGGTCCAAGTTGGTCGCGCCAAAAGCGCGTGATAGACTGAACCAACTTCCACGGATAGTAGGCCGCACTCGTCATTCCTTGCCCTTCCGTGTGGGAGTGAACATGGTTACCCACACAGACCTTCGCCCGGTAGGTCTGATGAAAGACCTCGTCATTGGTCTTGACCATCCATTTCTTCAAAATAAAGCTGTTGTCTTCAGGATCTCGAAGATCATAGCGGCAACCGTCAATTCGACATGACAACCAATCAATGCCTCGTTGTTGAAGTTGTTGTGCCAAGTACATCATAGGTTGTTGTCTCCATCCAATGCTGGGGTGAGGCCATTCAAAGTAGATCTTGACAGACGGATCTTCATCCAAGGTTTCCAGGAGGAAGCTCACAGCTTCCCATAGCATGCGACGTTCACGCCGTCGCTCCGTTGCCAGCTGAACTTGTCGGGCTTCATCACAGTACCTCGTTGAAGACCAAGAGCACCACTTAGTACACGGCAACGACACCCAGATACGCCGAGGACGCCGCTGTCGCCGAAGGTGTTGTAGCTGTGACCAAGTGTCCTTCTTGTAGACATCATAGCCGTACCGAAGATTGATCCTCCGTGGCCGTAGTCCTTGTTGTTCAGCTGCATCACTCATCCAACTGTGAGGTGCTCCAGAGATCTCCCAGAGACCTTCACACCCATCAAGGTGCAAACCCAACAACAACTGTGACATCGTGGCTGCCATCAATGTTGTCATAGCCATCAACTTCTTTCCCATGAAGAGGGGTAGGGGATGTGCAGCATGATGGTTGCACTTCTCAGACACCCGTTCCGGTCCATGTCGCTTACTCAGTAGCCGCTGTCCAGGACATTGGGGTTCATGTCGTCCGTCACTTCCCAGCTCCCCGGAGAGGATTGTCCTGGACTCATTGTTGTTGTCGCCGCTCCCGGAGTGCCCGTTGATGCGGTAGCCGGTGTGACCTGGTTCAGTGTCTCGGCCATCTGGACCTCGTTCATCCTCTCCCGAATCAACGTGTTGAGCTGCTCCTCCGCGTCGATCTTCCGCTGCATGGCCAGGCAGATACTCGCCGTGGGCTTGTAGTTCCCCATGAGGGTCTGGAGTTGCTTCAGCATCCTCGATGTCATTCCAGGGTTCTCTGCCTTGGCTGTTTGGCCGTGGCTTCCCACTCGTGGAATGTACTCCATCCTCAGGTTGCAAACCGCGCAATGTGTCCATTGACCATGAGCATTGGCCTGGGGACGGCCCTGCACATGCACATTGTGACATGGCCATTGATCGGCCCGCGTCCGCGGGTCTCGGAGGTCCGCGGTCACCTTGCGAGACACGTCGAGTGGCTGTGCCTTCGCATTTGGCTTTGTCTTCGCACGGATGTGGTCCACGATCACCTGCTCGGGAGTCTGCTGCGAGAGAGACATCACCGAAAGAGCGCGAGGGAGAAGGAGTCGGGATTGCTACAGGCGGAACTTGTCCACACATCAGTGCTTGAGATGCTGAAGGTGCCGATGTGCGGGAGGCGTTGTAAAGCTGCCACATCCTATCTCTCGACATTTGAAGCTCTCGTTCATCTAGTTCAGCATCACAGGCAGTCAAATCAAACCAAACGGTACCTAGCTCCAGGAACTGTTGATCTTGCGGAACTGCACACTCAGAGGCACTCGTGCGAACGACCACATGTGCTTGCCCTTCTTCAGATGTGTAGCCTTGTGTTAGATGATGAAGAATGTCAAGGGTGTAGTGTCCTTTCTTGTTCACAGTCAAGGGATAGATTGTCGGGTTGGGTTCCTTGGTGTTCATAGCGAGTCCACTGGCGAAATCTATCATGATGCCAATGCCATCCCTTCCAAGACAATCCATGCCAACCAACACAGGGACCAACGACGACTTGTCAAATCCACTCTTGAAGTACTCATCGGGATTGGGAAGAGTATAGAGAGAGAAACTTCTCAACTGGCCTGACACAGTACTACTGAGATGTACTCGACAAAGTGCCCTGCCCCATCTCCCGTTCCCGAAGCGAAAGTATGGCCGCGCTGACTGATCGAACTCAATCTTGGCTCCCTTGTCCTGGGTGAGAATGGCACTAATGAGGCCCTTCACGACGGCTTCTGGTGCCGCCGATGCGGTAGCTCCTGAGTCAATCATGCCGAGGTGGGGCTCCGATGGGCTCGCTGACGGCATCTGTTGCTGGTGACTGGTCGCCAGCTCCAACCCACTGAACTCAAGGCCGCCAAGAAACAAATCCGAGGAGTATGCATTCACAGTCCGCTCCCTTGGTTTCCCTTTATTCTTGCCCTTGCTCTTGGACCACAGAGCATGGGCCTGCATCCAGGATTTAGACTTGCCCTTGCCTTTGGACTTGCTCTTGCCCTTGTTCGTGAAGCACAACCATGAATCATCAGATTCCATTGCGAAGGCCTTGCCCTTGCCCTTGCCTTTTCCAAAGCCATATCCACGACGATCCGGGCAATCTCTGGCAAAGTGAGAACCTCCGCAATTGAAGCATTTCCCTGAGCCCTTCTGAAGAACAGCTCCAAAGCCGCGGTCCTTGCGAAGCGCCTGCGTCGCCCTTTGAGCTTCTGCCCAAGTACGATGAGCTTCAGCTGCTAGGCTCTCCGCAACCTGCTCGGCTTGCTGTGCTTCCTGCAGCTTTTCTTTGATGCCAGGGTCCTCAGGTTCTTGCGCTGCCTGCGCGTCGTAGCTCCACCAATCTTCATTCCACCAAGAGTCCTCGCCGTAGGGGTCCTCGTCGACGTAGTAGCTGTCATTCCACCATGAATCGTCCGTACCCCACCACTCGTGATCCGGCTCTTGGTAGTAGGCGGTCTCGTGGTCCCAGAAGTCGCCGCTGTCGAGCATGTAGGCCTGTTGCTGTGAAGCGCCATGATGTCCGCGACCAAGCATCTGGTCATCCCAAAGGTTCTGAAGCGCCGAAGAGATCACGGCATAGTCCATGCTGTTCTTGGTGCTCGCCAAGATATCACGGCGTTCATCGGCCGTGAGGCCGGACGCCTGCATGAGGCGCCAGCCCCTCAAGACCTCCAGGATGAAGGAATCCGCCATGGACAACTCGTCGATAGCCTTGGGCTTTTCTGAG